CTGTAGTACTAAGAAAACAGTTAAATTTTAAAAGCGCGGTTATAAGATCTAACAGATCTTCTTGTTCAATAGGGATTAGGAGGAGGTATGGAGAAAGTACTTCTTACTCGTAATAATGCACTAGATTTTAAACTGACATTGTTATTTTGAGCAGCGCTCACCTCTGGGGGAAAATTGGGCAGACTGCTAATAAATATTTTACTTTTAACTGAAGCTCGTTTTTCAGGAAAATCTATCTGACCAGTCTTTCCGCAGCGGTAAGACATAAACTTGCAAAAATCAAAAAAACTGTCCGTACAAACCCCACTTTTTGGAGTTTAAAATTCGTATCCCGCCCGATTCGATGAATTGTGAAAATGTTAGAAGATTTCACCGCAGGAGAGTCAAGAAAGTCACAAATAAAGCCATAAGAAGGGTAAAAAACCCTTCATTTTTGGTGGGGTTTTTTGTATTTTTAGACTAAAAGCCAAGATTTTAACAGAGACGATAATGAAACAATATTTCATCATTGCCTATCAGTTGAATTTAACAAGTTAGAGAGGACTGGATTTAAAAACGAATGTAAAAACAGCATTCAAAACTTAACACTAACGCGCGCAAGGCGATAAATGGGCCTATGGAGCCACCTTAAAATCATGGTTTTTACGACATGCGTTGTTTTGTCATGTTTATTACTGCAGAGTGCCTTTTATTCCTACTGAAATTAAAATGGCCTACAATTAAGAGACCTTAAGGGTGTTTACGATTTAGTTTATGAGCGGTATGGCCAAGAGACGTTGAAAATCATCAGAGATTGTGATAAGGATCTTTCACGCTTCAACAAAGTATTACTGGACACTGGGATCTGACAGAGATGCAGGCTGCTCCACATTTTTCCTAAATTTCTCAACTTCAAGCTTTGCCGAAGTGAAATTCAAGATGCGCGACCATGTCGTTTTTTCAAGGAAGATCTCATAAATTTAATTATTGTGTTGTGTTCTTGACCAAGTCACTTTGTCTCACAGTGCCTCTCTCCACCCAGGTATATAAACGGTTACCGATAAATTTTATGTTGGTACATCCCCGGAATTAAATTCCCCGGTACTCATTTATATACTAGGGTGGAGAGAGGCAGTGTGAGAGTGATACCTCAACAATCTTTAGATTTAAAGCGAAGAGCCCGTTACTATACGGACAACCTGGGAACTGGGATGGATTCAAGCACGTGGGAGACCTTCATGGGAACCAATGAGATGCAAATAAGCGTAGACTGAGTGATTGTGCTGTGGTACCTCATAAATCGCACTACGTGAACAGACAAAAATAAACTTATAGGCAAACACAACTGATCATCTTAATCATTTGAGTTTATTATTGTTTTTAAGAGGTCTATTTTTGTACATATTTGGGTGTTAGCTTCATTATTACATGGAATTTCTCAGCGATTGTGCCTCATTAGCACACGGAAATGGTTGAAAACTCTTGTCAAACGATTCGACTTCTTTGGCGGTGGAATCTGCTTAAAAGAGAAAGAAATTGGATAAATTTTAGATAGGACTTTATGCGTGTCATACAAAGTCAACCGTTTAATTTAGATGCCTCTCTCATGAATGATTCAGAGTGAAAACCTTTTTAGCTCAGATTAGTTTATATAATGGCAGCAATAGCTTCTTTTGGGACCTAGATGTTTCACAGTTGGAGTGTGATCACGTGGGCGTAAATGGATAGCTCAAATTGTACACGTGCGCCAATTGTGCTTGGATTTTGTGCAGCCGCGATCCTTTTGGTCAGCCACCGCGCATCGCGTCGGCGACATGTATTCAATCGGAATCTTGATTGGTTCACTGAATTGTGTCCTTTGTGATTGGCCAGAGTCATAACTTTGGCTTTGCTTTTACGACATTCAATTGAAAACCACTGTATCAGAGTAATGTATAAAACTGGTCCCTGAATTGTTCTCCACTCGGACAATTATCGTTTACAGATAAATATTATTGGCTAAGTTGCTCTGATTTACCTTAGTCATCGGCGTTGTCATGTCAGTGAATAGTTTCTGTAGATCGTCCAGCTCACTGAAAAACGAAAACAGCCGGGATATATGGAAACAATTATCATAGGTGGGAAGAATGGCTTCGTAACTACTGTTAAAAAACTTAAGACATTGTCGACGTAACAAATCTCACTTTATAGAGCCGATCGTTTCCCGTAAAACACTACAGCCCAGCTGCTAATGAAAATTCTAGTCGAATCTCAATCCAATGAGCTTTTTTTACGTTGAAAGCACTTCGTCCTTGACGGATTCTTTTCATACCCAGCTAGTAAGTAGGCTGTATTGAGTAAATCACAAGTCTCGATTTTACCTACTTGTTCCAAAAGCATTATCATCGCTGAACATTTACCTTGTATCGTATTTGCATTTTACAAAGATCATTTTACAAACATGCCAGCAACAGACTAGACTACGAATAGTCCCTCTTTGACTAAGTCCTTCGTACGTGACGCGAAAGAAAACCGCGAGAAAAAAATGGCCGCGCGAAATCTTGGAGGCGAGGA